CAGGAGCCCCTAGTAGCGTCCTTGCTCCTAGTAGCGATGCCAGGAGCGCCTAGTAGCATCCTTGCTCCTAGTAGTAAATTCATGGGAACTGTGGGAACCGGGAACTGGAGCCAAGTCTTGGGCCGAACGCCATTGAGGCCTTCTCGAAGTGGTGCCATTGAGCTTGACTGGGATTCCAGGCTCAACATGGTTCCAACTGCGTTCCATAATGTTTCAAGCGGCGAGTGCATGAGTCCATGTGACTCCCAACTTGGCTGCCCCATCCTGTCCAGGTCTTGGCCAATTTGAAAGTGCGCCGTCCACTCTGCGTGGATTCCTTCTGGGAGCCGCAAGTGCAGCAGGTACTAACCTGAATAGATACTTGATTCATCTTGATTTCTGGATCACACATGAGGCCCGCAATGGGTTCGTTCTGGTCACATGTGGTTGAATCAAGCAAGCGACATTCCCAGGTTCGTCACCCTGCGCCACTCCAGTGGGAGCCCGAGGGAGCCATGTTTACACACAGAATACTGAGCACACGACATAGGGGCACAAATATGCACACTAATGAAACTACAGTACCTGGAAGACATGTTTTTCCAGCATACTGACACCAGGAAAGAGCTTGCAAGCCCTTCTTCACATTTGCCTTTTTCATTTCATATGATACTTTCGAAAAAGAGTGACCATTCCCTGTATGTAGTATTAATATTTAATCACGAAAGGTAGCTTGAGCTACCTGAGTTCTCCTTGCTTTAGCAAAAATGTATTACAATCAGGAGTTGGGATTGTGCATTGAGTTTGGTCCTGTAAGAGTTGATTCTGTTCGTCGGGGGGGGGCCCCCCCCCTCCCTGGATCAAATCCCCCGTGCGCCGGGTCACGCCGTCATGGACTTCTACCAGGGTTACTTGTGATTGCCTGCTACCTTTCGTTCACCCCCTCCTCTCTCAAGTGTTATTGCCTTGTGGCTGAGGTGCTCGTAACCATTACCTCCTATATTGCATCACACTCGGTCGCTGATCTGCACTTCTCAGCCCTATCCAGCTGCACTCAACACTTTGCGTCGCCGTGTTGGGCATCCTTGCTCCCAGTAGTAAGGCCAGGAGCCCCCAGTAGCTTCTTGTTCCTAGTAGCGATGCCAGGAGCCTCTAGTAGCGTCCTTGCTTACCGAGGTAGGTGTTGCGGGCTCTGCAGCTTTGCTGTTTGCCTATGCGATGGGCTGCCTGACAGCAGAAGCGGCATTAATCTTGCTTCATCCCGAGTGGCAAGACTGGGATCTGAGGCTACAGCTTGCCGGTGGCTTTGGTAAGCATGTCTACAAGCCTCCTGCCAGTTTTCCAGGAGCGCTGCAATTCATGCTTTATCACGTTTCTTGCTTAGATTCAACTCAGCACGGCAAGCTCGGTGAAGGAAGGCGGTGAGTGGGGTATCTTGGCATGTTTGAGAGCCAGTCATCGCAGCGTTCATGCTTTAGTCACTTTAGTCCAAAAACTGTTCACAACTTGTCAAGGTAAGAAAACGACTGGAGCTGCTATCCTGTTGGTCAGCTTCTGAGCTTTGGATTAACTCCATTGGAGACTTCTCAGGTGCAAGAGCTCTTTATCCATGGTCCATCACGCATAAAGAGCAATCGAAACCATAGATGCCTGTTTCTAGCTTCCACACGTGAAAGTCTTCCCTGATGACTAGGTTGGAGCATGGCAGTTGCTCACGCTTGTGCATGACGTGTTTGGTCTTCAAGCTGAAGCGGCCATCTATGTTGTGATGGCCCTGATTGAGGGGGTTACATTTGCAAATTGGACAGTTGTGGGTAAACCAGGCAAACCAACTGTTGGCCAACACATGGCACGATTCAGGCGCTGATTGCATCCACACTGGCTCTTTACAATAAGACTCCGAAGGCTAGGAAGAGCGCCTGAGCAGCTTGGTGAACTTGATGTGCACTTTTGAAGGTGGGATTGAAGGTCACCGCTCTGCAAGAGGCCCTGTGCCTCAATGCTGTATTCAATATCCTACATTGCTTAGTAGGTTGGAGGCCATCGCTATTAGGTTCGAGGCCATCGCTCTTAGACACAAAGAAAAAGAAAAGGGAGAAAGGTCCAATATACTGTGGACTTGCTGGATTCGCAGAGGCCGTGTACGAGTATCAGCCGCTTCTGGACGCCACTTGTCAGCACTTGAAGACTTGAAGAATCTCTCGACCCGCCTCATGGGGATCAGCAGAAATCAACACTGGACAGTCATGCTCCTGAGCACCTGCGAAAGGAAACGTTGCACGATACACCATTAACCGATATTAACCGCCACACTTCCACGGGATTGCACAAGAATGGTGTGGGAGCAGCGACATGGAAGTTGCGTGCGAGTGCGAACATCCCGACGGATCAACGACCGGCCTACACCCAACGCGCTTCGCTACGCACGAGGGAAGAACAGGTCTAAGAGTCCAAATCAAAGAGAAAAGACAAGAAGCAAACAAGACAAGTAAAAGATCATGAAACGACTAATTACCCTTCTTCTAGCAAGACCGCTGTTGCCTCAGGTGCCTTCTAGCAGTTCGATTTCAATTCTGGACGAGCCGACATGTCCTGAGCTTTTAAGGCTGAAAGTCAGAAAGGTCGGTGGGTCTGAGCACAGCCTTAAGGGGCATGGGCTTGCTATTTTTATCTCAGGCGACGGTTGGCTTTGACCTCCCTTGTGGGGAGCGTTGTTGTGGCCAGCCTTTCGGAGGCAGGTCCAATGAGAGCTGGAACCAGGAATAGTTGAGAGAACAGCTTGCCAGGCAGCTCCATGGCTGCGCGGCAGCTTGTCATATTGAACATTATTGATCAATATTGATCACATGTTTTTCATGCTTTGCCGAAGCTGCTACTTATAATAAGTTATAGTTATAGTTATAAGTTATGGTTACAGTATAAGTTGTTGCCACATTGACAAAGGCAGTACACAAGAAGATGCTGCATCCCTGATCTTGCAAGCAGCAGCTGAATCCAGACCAATGCCAGTGGCATTGCAATCTGGCAAGCCGGGACCTGGGGACCTTGATGAGCTCAGCTGAAGCATGAGCAAAGAAGAAAGTTCCATTGTCCATTCCCAACCATACTGTACCATGTCTTTTGTCATTTGTGTTTTGATGTTTGCAAATCTCTGAAGAGTATTCTTCCAGCTGACCAGTGTGTTCATTTTATTTGCTTGAGTGACCATGTGTCCATTTTCCCGCATGATGTAGCTGCAAGGCCTGTTCTAGTTGACTTTTCAGCCACTTGGTGCGTCGATTGTCTCCAGTCCGCGCCAACTCTTCGAGATCCTTGGTAGCAGATTCTTGTTGCAGAGATCCTTAAGGTTTCTTGCTTTGGCAAGACACTTGAGAATCTATATACCTCGAAGAAAGAGCAGCTAAGCAAACTGATTCAAAGGCGTTGCTGACATTGTAGACTCTTTGCATCTCTTTCCCCTGATGACTCTGCTAGAAAGATGTTTGCTTGTAAGTCAACTAAGTGTTCCTCTGAAGGTCTAGGATGATCTATCTAAGGATTTGAAACGCCAGTTGCTCAACTGCAGGGGATTTTGAGTTCCGGCTCCATTGCTCCAACACTAGAACTTTCATGAGGCACCAAGTAGGTGTGGTCACAAGGGTCAGGCGGTGCAATTGAACTTCTCACCGTGACCCCCCTGAACAAAAGCAAGTCTTGCCACACTCAAGGGAAACTTCATCATTTTTTTCCCTGCGAGTTCAAACGAGAAACCACTGACTGTTTATTTGAGTGGTAGGCGTACATGTGCTACATTCGTAGGTCAACCGAATTGCTGGTTGCTTGGTCGATGGGCCAAGGGAGCAAGCAGTGCCCTTGTCGAGATTGAGATATGTTGAACACATTAAACAATATAAGCAAGGGCAGCGGCTGACGTGCATACACCGGAATGATAGAATGGTAAAGCAATGATCAACATATACCGATGCCAACATACAAGTAGTACCTGAGCAAGCCAGTCGGGAATGGAAGTTTAAGAAGTGGATATACATATATATATATATATCAGTAATTATAGAGACCGCGACGTAACCTAAGGCATGCCACATTGACGTGCACATGTTTCCAGTTCCGAATGGCACGGAGCCACGCAAACGTGTTTTCCACTGCTCCCAGAAGCAACTCTGCGTTGGATTATAATTCATCATAATTCACAGTTGCCACTTCTGAGCCCCTGGCTCCCAGAAGCTACTCCCCGTATTGTATGTCAACTACAAGGTTGCCAGTTCTGAGGCCCAGCTCCCAAGCTACCCCGTGTGTAGATGTGCACAAATTCTGAGCGAGCTCCGAGAACCGAGCCAGTTTCTGAACTCCTAGCCTCCGGACGAGGCTCTTTTTTCTTAGAGACGCGTCGAGCTTTGGAGGCACATGTGGCATGTAAAAACAGGTCGCACGGTTATTTCTCAACGATGCGTTTTGTGCGAGACTTTCTCAAAGCCTCAGCATGAGCATTTTGTGCTTGCACAGGGTAACACAGGTAACAATACCAGTAGCACACAAAGACAAAAGCACGAAATGCTCACGCTGAGGCTTCGAGATGTGAAAACGCATCTTTGAGATAGCCGTGCGCAAAACATGTTTTTACATGCCATGTGTGCCTCCAAAGCTCGACGCTTCTCCAAGAGTGCAAAGGCTGCCTACGTTTCTGTTTCATACTGTTTCTGTGCTACTGACAGCGCCGTTTTTGAAGGCAACTATTGCTTATGTTACTTTACTGATACTGTTATTGTGCAATTATTACATTATTGTATACTTTCTGTTACCCGTGCAACTGTTATTTGGGTCACGGTCAATGACGCTACTGATGCTGTGAAACTGTCACTTGCTTTCTAAATGCTTGCAACACGGAAGTTTCTGAGCTCAACTTCAATTGATTGTAACAGTGGCGCGGTACTATTTTCCTCAAAATACTGACTGACTGTGGTGGTACGCATATACATTTATAATATATACTATATATATATACACTCGATGGCATTCGTGTTTTGGCGTCGCTTGTTTCAACCTGAGGTTTGGGCAGGATGTTGAGTTTGTGACTTTGGACGTATCAAACTGGACTGCAAATTCCGGCAACGACGACTTGGATTGGTGCCTCGACAAACCGTAGAGCCTAGAGCAGATGTTTTTGATCATGCTACCAAGCATCCTTGCTGCAATTGGTCGTGCCAAATGGCAGACGTTTTACTGCTAGGTGGACGCGGGAATTTCGAGTCGATGGAATTCCACATATTGCCTTTGTTCTTCCTGATAGGTCTGGTGCCTTAGTTTATGCCAAAACCATCCAACTGCTTGACTTGTGGAATGTTGCAGGCGGGTCCTCACTGCACTTATTGGCAATTTGCCAGCTGACGTCCTGCAAGCCAATCTAGAGGCACTGGAAGTTTGAGTGTTGACAGAAAAACACCTACATAAAGTTGCAGGAAGAGGACAGAGACGGGATTTACTTTTGACTCGTCGTTCTCATGTGACAGTGATTTGACCTTTCTTTACCGCAGGCATTCGCGAACTCCAAAACAGACAACGAGGAGGAACTGCCTGCATTGCCGGGCATCCTAGTGGCAGTGCACAAGACAACCCCCTGAATGCAAAGCTTGTGCCATGCCATTGATTGACTAGTCTAGTCCATCAATGGAGCACTTTGACACGAAGCGCAACAAACTTTAGATTTGGGAGCCTGGTTGCTACTTGCAATGCACCAGCAAGCCTCTTGAACAAATTATCACGGCAAGAGACCCCAAACAGTGTGTGTGAGGTCTGTAAGCAGAAAGTCTAGAGATCTAGACGCATTGGGGTGATGAAGTGAAGGTGGGTGTGAGTGAGTGTGGGTGAGAGGGAGCGTGAGTGTGAGTGAGAGTGGGAGAGTGAGAGTGAGTGTGAGTGTGAGTGCGAGTGAGAGTGAGTGTGGGTGAGAGTAAGTGTGCGTGAGAGTGAGAGTGTGAGGGAGTGTGAGTGTGAGTGAAAGTGGGAGTGCGAGTGTGAGGGAGTGTGAGTGTGAGTGAAAGTGGGAGAGTGAGAGTGAGTGAGACTGAAGGTGGGTGAGTGAGTGTGGGTGAGTGAGAGTGAGTGTGAGTGAGAGTGAGAGTGGGAGAGTGAGTGAGTGAGTGTGAGTGTGAGTGTGAGAGTGAGAGTGAGAGAGTGAGAGTGAGAGTGAGAGTGAGAGTGAGTGAGTGAGTGTGAGTGCGAGTGTGAGTGAGAGTGAATGTGGGTGCGAGTGAGTGTGGGTGAGAGTGGGAGTGAGTGTGAGTGAGAGTGCGAGAGTGAGTGAGTGTGGGTGAGTGAGTGTGCGTGTGAG